AGTATTCTTGGATAACATTGCTACTTGATATCCTTTACACAGGGACCTTCAATATGCAAAGTACAGGCTGTGCACCACAGTGGATTGTGACATCTTCCTGCTTCAGGTAGTATTGTGGTGTGGTCAATGGTATAGTTGCTCCCTTGGCTCCTGCATAGAGTCTGGAGTGGTATGTCATCTTTTGTTGCACTGTTCCTATTTCAAAGAGCTAAGAGTACCTAAGAAAAACCATGCTGGATAAGAGCAACAGTCTCTCTTGTCTAGCAGTCCTGTTCCCTTAAGGCCAATTAGGTGAGAATTCCACAAGCAGGATCTATCACAGGTGTTGTCTCAATTGGAAGTCTTTCTCCCTGATTGGGTGGAACAGCAAGTGCAGGCAGGTATGGCACCTGAAGCAGTTCTGTTCTCACCACAGTGCTCAGTTAGGAGGATAGGGCAATCCTGTATGTCAGTGTTTATGCCTTTAGGAGGTAACTTAGTATCTGTCGTCTCTGTCCAGCAACAGGAAACAAACTCTAACAAGCTCTTAAAAGACAGAATACAGTGATGCCCCACTTGATGATTACCGCGCTTCATGACGAATCCGCTTTACAATGAGTCTTAGTATCTGTCGTCTCTGTCCAGCAACAGAAAACAAACTCTAACAAGTTCTTAAAACACAGAATACAGTGGTGCCCCGCTTGACGATTACCCCGCTTCACGACGAATCCACTTTACAATGAGTCTTTGCGATTGCTATTGCAATCGCAAAACAATGTTTAAATGGCAAAAATCCGCTTAACAATGATCGGTTCCCTGCTTCGGGAATCGATTTTTCGCTTAACGACAATCAAAAACGGCTGATTGTCGGGTTTTCAAAATTACTCCCTGCCATGCAAAATGGCTCCCCGCTGTGTTCAGGATGGATTCTTCACTTTACAGACATCGGAAAATGGCCGCCCTATGGAGGATCTTCGCTGCACGATGAGGTATTTCGCCCATTGGAACGCATTGACCGGTTTTGAAGGCATTTCAGTGGGTTTTTTACTTTTGCTTGACAACGATTTCGCCTAACAGCGATTTGAATGGAATGGATTATCGTCGTCAAGCGAGGCACCACTGTACTCTTTTAGAACATTGCTATTAGCCTTACCCTGAACCAGAAAGCTATATGTACATTTTTGAAGTGTTTTTTCCCTGCATCTGAAATATTTTATGAAATGACAGCCACTGAAATATTTATGTTTTTTTTCTTATTACATAGTTGGAATTATTTTTAAAAACCACTTAAATGGTTCTTATTTTTTTATTTCTTCTGTTAAATACAGATAAGATTTTTTTGAAATGGACAGGTAGTGCAGGGGGCATTTAGTTTGCCGGTTAAAGCATGAAGGGAGCATGCCATTTTGCACTCCATTTTGATAAGTAGATCATGTGCTTTCTCAAGAGCTTCTGGTGGGCTCGAGTACTTTATGCCAGACACCTTGCTACCTCAACCAAGATGAGTCATCCTCTTGTAGTGAATCAGTTTAAAAGCACTGTCCATATCTGAAAAGGAATACCGCCTTCCAACTGCTGTGAACAATTTTTGCAAAATTATAGTATTTGGAGGGAAACCATAACCCAGAAGCATCTGCGCAGTGTGAATCTGGGTTTATTTGAATGGCTGCTCCTCTGAACCATTTTCTCATTGGACACGTCAGGCCAGCATTTTGTGGAAAGCCCCACTGAGATAGTTGTGACTTAGATGACTACAGAATTGCACATTTGAAGAATACAAACAAGAAATGAAAGAGAAGACCTTAGCTTCTTGATGTTTCCTTTGATAAACCATGCTGCTGCTTCATACATAAAGAGCAGAAACAAATAAATAAATGAAATAAACCTGAGATCTTGCTCATGCAAGCATCACTATCCAGGAATAATCAGTCTGTAAATTCAATACTTTGGAAAAAAGCTAAATATTTCCTTAAAAGGACTTTTAAATGTGAGATAGTGCACTTTTTTATCATTTAATTTCAAAATCTCTTTTAATTCAATTGTAATCTGGTAAGTTAATTTGTTCCATTGTGTTTTAGTATTATAATTTTTGTGCACCTTGCTGTCTATCTTTAATCTTGTTGTGAACTGCCTTGAGTCCCAGTTTTGAGACAAAGTATTTTTATTCTAAGATTCATTTATTTAGAACACCCTGAATTGTTCATATGTCTTGATGAAACATTTTGGGTGCCAGGAATATGTCATCTCATGGGTACTTTTTCCTTTCTTTCTTGGATGTTTATGGTATCTTGCAGCAGACAATTTTCTATGACATCCAAATCAGGCAAACCTACAGTATGTATTTAAGAAGTTGAGATATGGATTCTGATTTATTGTTAGTAGCTATCCATAGTTTGCTTGAATCATTGTAAACTGTGCTTTTTGTGGACCAAAAAAATAGAAGGAGGGAATTGGTGTGCACAAGGGAAAAATAAACTTCCGGAGGGCTCTCTGCAGATAATGACAGATAAACCCTGCTGTCAGGTCTGTTATCAAAAGTCCTGGATAGTTTCTGCTGTTAAGAAGGCATATTCTTCTCATTATCCCAGCAAACATTTCATTCAGGTTAGGCACTGAAGTATGTACTGTAGTGTCTTGTTTTAGTATGTTGTGAAGGTGAATTAGGAACTGATTAAAAATGGGTTTTTCGGCCATTGGAAGTCACGCAAAGCAGCTTTGGAGTGTGCTAATAAGATAATGCACAGTGTTCTGATGAATACATTAGAAGAAAATCAGCTGCATTTGTGCATCTCATCAAGATCTAATGGGGATTCTTCATTAGCAAGTCTGGATATAAATGGAAAGGAACATATTATGTGCTCATTGGGAATTGTGAAGGCATTGCTCATTTCCAGGATATTTGAGAAGTATGTTTCTTTTTAAATCGTAAATGAATATTAATTTTTTAAAATAAACACTGTTACAGTAAATGTAGTTTTCCTTACTGTTAGAGAATATCAAAGTTTTAGCTAATAGAAGCTTGACTCAGCCTTCCATCCTTCCAAGGTTGGTAAAAATGAGTACCCAGCTCTCGGGGGGGGGGGGGGTTGTTGTTGTGTGAGAGGGGGGGGGGGGGGGGGGGGGATGTGTTGTTTGCAGATTTCTGTTGTGAATTGCCCAGAAAGTGCTTTAGCACTCTGGGGCAGTATATAAGCTGAAAGAACAACAACAGTTACAGAGCTCATTGCTAAGAATATTCCAATTGAATTTGAAATGTGCTCCACTTCTGTTAAATAGATAGAGGAGAAGCCATTTTGGCCACTGCATATCAATGGCTCTGGTACAATGTACTCAGTTTTTCTGCTTTATACAGTAGTAACACTCTCAAAGTCAGTAATTAAAAAATTAAAAAGGAGGATTCTAATGTTACTAACTTTGGCATTTTAGCTGAAATAATGTAAAATTTGTTACCGCTGAACTCTTAAAGAGTGTGTGAAAAGAGTTCAGCCTCATAGTAAGTACATAGCTAAGGGTCAGCTTACCCACTATAAGCTGACATTTTGAACTGTCATAAAACTGTCATTCTTTTTTTCACAAAAAGCAGATAGACATGAGGAGGCAGGGAGAGAGAAAGTATACCCTTTCCTTTCAGTGCTGTTTTCTGTCTGAAAATTAGTGCCCAGCACCCTTCATCCAAGAAGACAGGTTTCTTGTTTGCAACAAATACTGTATGTGGGGTGTGTGTGTGTGTGGATTAGTGACATCTAGGAGCAAAGTGATGCAGGTAAGAAAGGTTTCGTTCCTGGTTGCCTGTAGTTCCCCTCCAGGTTTGAGGGCCCTGCAGCTTCTCTCTGTGACAGGTATTTATCATTGTAAGGGACGTGGTAAAGGGAAAAAAAGCACATGTGGGCAATGACACTCTATCCTCCCCCCCCCCAATTTGGCTTTGAAACAAGATGTGTGATAGCATGTGCCAGGTTTTCTAGTTAATTAGTGCTTTTGGGAGACTTTCAGCAGCAGGGAAAGGAAGCACGTCACAGGGGCCTGCCAGATAGGAAGGCGCATGTTACCTGGCAGCTCCTGTGCTGTCCAGTGTCCACATGTGAACTGCAGCCTGCACATTTCCCTACTGCAAAATATACTTTGATTCTGACAGATATACTAACAAGGCAAGAATCTGAAGATGGGTAGTGATCTCTTCCTTTCCCCATTCCCCCTTCCACTCATAACCCAGAACATATTTGAGTTCTGAAAGTTCAAAGTATTGGCACAGGATGGCCAGAAAAATGAAGTGGGAGGCTCCTATTCCTGTAATAGCTTTGTGGAAGAGGAAATTTCAGCAGGTGTAGCTGCGTGAGAACCTACATCTGTTGAAATCTTCTCTACATATTTATTAAAGCTACAAGATTTAGATATACCCTATGGTCATTAGCCTAGTTAAGATTTTAAAATCCTATCCTTGTGGCTCCTACTGTATTAGCAACTCTAATTTGTAAATCAAATTGTGTAATCCAAGAGGGTTGAATCCTGTCCTACTGTCTATGTGGGGATCACAATAATTTTCTTTTCCAAAGCTATAATAATTATCCCAGTAGGTGTTTTCAACAAAATGGTTCCCAACTCTCATTAAAAGTTTGAATGTTTCAAGACTGTGCACTAAAGGGTGCCTTTAAAGAAGAAACAAAAACCAAGGACTTTGTAGTCGTTTGTAATTTCAAGTAATTTTGTAATTTCAAGTAAGAGTGATAAATCTGGATTATGGCTACACAATAACCAGTTCCAAAGAAGAATGGAACATATGAAGGGAAGATAAAATATGACAGCTCTTTTATGATTATTGCAAATTAAATCATAGCAATGATGATAATGGTGTTTATTATCATCAGAAGTTCTTCTAGCAAAAACTGATTTTACCTGGCTGTGCCTCTCCAGATTTTATGCATTGTTTTCATATGGATGAAGGGTTCTGTATAAATGGTGTCAGTGTCAGTCTCTGTGGAAGTGAATCCAGAGAACTTAGTTTTATTCCTATTCTCTTCCAGTTTGAAAGGCATGACCCTGTCAATGGCAGAATCACAGAACGTCAGTTTGGTAGTATGCTGCTAGCGTACAGCGGAGTACAATCCAAAAAGCTGACTCTCATGCTAAAGCAACTCAAGAAGCATTTTCAGGATGGAGAGGTGAGTAGTATTTTCATGAACAAAATGGAGAGAGGGGCTGTTTCTTGTGGAGATTAAATAATGTTTGGCTAGTTGTAGAGTGGCATCCATGAGATAATTAATTCTTTGGACTGCCATTATTTGCAAATGCTATGTCGGAAGAATCTTTGGCCTGCACCATTCAAACTGAGAGATAAAAACATGAGGCATTCAGAGCCCACCTTTATGACTCTCTCTCTCTCTCTCTCTCTCTCTCTCTCTGTGTGTGTGTGTGTGTGTGTGCGTGCGCGCGCTGCTCTTTTGCCTGAATTAACCAGGGAAAGATGTATAACCACTGATGTGACCTTGAATTAATTGTCCATTATGCCTGGGTAATTTGTCATTTATGTATTATGAATTTATGTGGGGGAAATAAATTACAGAAACTTGAGCTCATAATTTTAAGGGGAAAAGAGTTTGTAGCTGCTGTAGAAATTACTGTGTGCTAGGAGACCATGAATGAAAAAACCCACTTAAAGTGAAATTACTTCTTTTTATCAGGTATGATAGAGCATAAGCATGATGTCTCTTTTTTTCTTGAGACAGTAGTTCTCCTCCTCTAATTATCCAATATTGGCATACAACAACTGAGTCAAAATGTGAACTAGTTAAGAACTTCTGTTACAAGCAAGGTTCCCTCTATACTGCATGGCTGCGCAAGTGCATATGTCTCCACCCCCCCTCCACACAGCTTTCCCCCTCCACTGTGCACCCACAGCGAGCATTTTCAGTCCCTTTGGTTCTGGTCACAGTGGAACCCCGCATTGGGGGCGGAATCGTGTGAGAGGGGCAGAGTCACACCTTTCCGATGATGATTAATAACCTCATTATCCAGACAGTTTTTTCCCAGTTTGGTGACATACTATGCTTATCATAACTTATACAGTGTGCCCTCCTAAACACATTAATAGTGTCACTAAATGAAGGCGAGGTTATGCTTGCTGCTTCTCACATGAGTACCTGAATAACAAGTACCTAATCCTGTTGGGCAGCTTTCAGTGGTGAAGACTTTTCTACCCATAAGGGCTGAAAATTAGAGAGAACCTTATTGATTTTTTTTATTGCTTTAATCCAGTTCTAGGTAGAGAAGATAATTGAGTTAGGAGCTCCATTTCTATTCTTCCTTCTGTATTCCCAATCAAGGTTTCTCTCTCTCTCTCTCTCTCTCTCTCTTCCCCCCCCCCTCTCTCTCTCCATACACTGGGAAAAAAGTGTGAGGTTCTGGTGAAAAAGTGAGGAAAGTCCTAACATAAATAGATTATTAAAAATACAGAATTGCTGTGGAGATTTTGGGAACAAATAAGGGCAGAGCATCATAGTGATCTAGTAATGTAGTTTTGCCAAATGAATAGCAGAGAAGGGATCAGTCGTGACTTTAAAACTGAGCAAAATCAACCAGTTTGTTTTATTTCTTTTTCTGGAGGCACTCAGCAACTCAAATGCATGACAGAAAGCAGCAGATAGCACTGGGGTTGGGATTGTTGGGGCAAATAGTACGGACGTTTGTGAAAAGAATAATGAGAGGGAGTATCTGGAAATAAAAACTGCAGAGTCTAGGACAGGGATGGCAACTTTTGTTCCTATTAGATGTTGTCAGTTTGTAATTCCCATCATCCTTCACTATTTGCCATGTTAGTTGTAGCTGAAATTATCAGGGATATTAGCAAGTCTTTGGGTTCAAGTCCAAGTCATTGGGTCCAAGTCCCAAGTCTCAAGTCCTTGCCTGGGAAATTCTGGGAGTTGTAGTCCCAGAAGACCCCAAGCCACTGGTAAGGTCCCCCCAGCACTGTCCCTCAGCTGGGCTCTTGACCTTCTGAAGAGCCCCTGGCTCACTCCTCCCTGGCCTTTCCTGAGGTGGGCTCCTTCTCCCCTGCTAGGCTATGAGGAAGCTCAGCAACCAGTTGACTGGTAGGAGCCACAAAAGGAGGTGGGCCTACAGTGCCAGCATGATGGCGGCTGCAGTGACCTTGGGCTCAGCAACAGACTTGGCCTCCAGCCAGGCACCAGTGCTGCACTCATGCCTTCTGGGCCACTTGGGCGGCCTCCTGGTGACAGTGGCAACCAGACAGCCCACATGGAGGTGCTGCTTTTCCCATCACCGTTACCTCCTCTGCTTGCGGTATCTGAGGAGGGAAGCACTGCAGCTGCTGAGGCCATCAGCAGCTACACCTTGGAGGGCACTTCACCCTCCCTTCCTGTTTGCCGCCATTTGCCTGCCCCTCTCCCGTAGGGGTCCATTAAAAGAACAGGGACTTGAAAATGCGACTTGGAAAAATAGGTCTGAATCATGAGTCGAGCCAGAGTCATTGAAAAAAACAAAGAAACAAGTCGAGTCTGAGTCAAGACGCCAATGAAACTTAAGTCAGACCTGGCAATGCATTGTGAGTCAAAAGTTCCCATCTTTGGATGTTACAGTGTATCCTAGTCTAAAGCAGTCACAGATTGGCCACACAATCAAGGGAGTGGACAGAAGTTCCAAAGGTAATCACAAGGAGAGTTTCAGCAAAAGCCATTGCACTGATGGACTGCAGGCCGTGTAAGGATCAAGAGGTGGAGTGGAGAGAAAACAAAGGGCTACATCCAGAATTAGTTCTACCTATAGGTCTAGTGCAATCAATGTGATGAAAAATTTTGTTCATTTTAGTGATTCTTCTCTAGGCAGGATTAACACTGGATTTCTCCCAAATGCTGCTGTGCTGGAAGTGGCAAGGGGGAATTATTCAATGGAAAGATCCCAGACAGTATAGTTCTTGGGGGAAAACAAGAGAAAATTCAGGCTTGATTTGTTCTGGGACCCACTTTTGCATCTTCGTGGCAGTTCAAGGTATCCGCAAAGCACTCCTCCAGCACCATATTTGAAATGAATCAATTTCCCCCCTCAGTTTTCTTCACTGTCCAGCTTTCACACCTGTACATAGTACAGGCATTTCAGTAGTAACATGTTTTTGGACTTTTAGTGCTTCTCTTTTAATGTGTTGTTGCTGGTGGTTTTGACAGCTTTATACTGTGATTGGTTTTATCATGCTTGATTCCTGTTTTACTTTTTATTGTCCCTTCCCCCACCCCACCCCCAGAGAACATTTGTTGCTGAGTGGTGTACAAATACTTTAAAGAAATAGAATTGTCACAGCAGTGGAGAACAAAGCAAATTCAAAGTTTGTGCTTGAACTGAAATTTGGAAACAAATGTGGGAGGTAGATCAATGAAGTTACAAACATAAATATTGACATCAGTAGCAACGCAGTGTTTTGCATATTCACTGAAATGTAAGCCCAGTTATAATCAATAAAGATTATAGATTATAACTGGACTTACATTTCAGTGAATATGCAGTAAAGATTATTTCCAAGAAAAAATGTACAGAGAATTAAACAAAAGGTTTGAAATTTGGCCAAAATGGTAGTTTTAACAGAGGCTTGTTTCAGGATAGCCTCTCTCATCTCCTGCAAGGTAAATTGAAGGTCAGCCAAGGAATCTTTGCATGCTGCATAATTCTAAGATAAATATTTTACCCCACTTTAAAAGGACCAAAGGCGGCTTACATCATTAATAGACAGTATTAATGCTAACAGCAGTGTGTATGCAAATACAGTAGTAAAAAGGATCAAATACCATACGAAAAAACTTAAGCAACACCAGAACACATACAAAGCAATAAGGTACAACAATCCATTAAACCCCCCCCCCTCAGGCAACCAGTCACTTAGGAAAAACCTGCCTGAAGAGAAAGATCTTCACCTGCTTGCAGAAGGATGGTGAAGGTGGGGCCATTCTAGCCCCCTGTGTGAGGGAGTTCCAAAGACATGGAGTAGCAACACAAAAGACCCACTCCCATGTGCCCACCAAATGCACCTGTGAAGGTGGAATGAATGAATGAATGAATGAATGAATGAATGAATGAATAAATAAATAAATAAATAAATAAATAAATAAATAAATAAATAAATAAATAAATAAATAAATAAATAAATAAATAAATAAGGGAGATACTGTACAGTCATTTAGATATCTTTATAGTGCCAACACTTTGAAATCAACCCAGAAACGACTCAGCAGCCATTGGAGCTGTTGTAACAGGTTATGTTATAGGATACTCGCTCAATTTATCTTTCATTAACCAATATTGTCCACTGTGATTGCCCTGGATGGATTAATGGCTGCCTGTTCAGCAATGCCGGATTTGTTGGGCATGATCTTTTCCCTCATTCCTGAGCTTGTTCATTGCTTGTGAACTTTTTCTTAAAGAATCCCTAGCACAAAGATTCAAAAATCACCTAGGCAACCCAATCAAACACTGCTAAGCCACATATACATTGCACTTCCTCTAATTAAACCTGTGTCTTGCTTCATCATTACATGCCATGTGGAGTTAAAACATTCAAAATGTTTGTAAGAAAAGGTGTTGCACAAAGACGGGATATAAATCTCCTTTCTATTAATTAGTTCCTTATTAAAACAGGGACGTGGTGGCGCTGCAGGTTAAACCGCAGAAGCCTCTGTGTTGCAAGGTCAGAAGACCAGCAGTCGTAAGATCGAATCCATGTGACGGAGTGAGCTCCCGTCACTTGTCCCAGCTCCTGCCAACCTAGCAGTTCAAAAGCATGTAAATGTGAGTAGATAGTTACTACCATGGTGGGAAGGTAACAGCATTCCGTGTCTAGTCGTGCTGGGTCGTGACCACAGAAACTGTCTACGGACAAACGCTGGCTCTGCGGCTTGGAAACGGGGATGAGCACCACCCCCTAGAGTAGGACACAACTGGACTAAATGTCAGGGGGAACCTTTACCTTTACCTTAAAATATCTTGGGTCACAGCTACATTGCTTAAATGACTGCTAGCATAAGCTGTATTTACTGTATAGATGCAGATACTCTCAGAGAGGTTTTCGGACTGTCCTCTGGAACTAGGAGAAGCTAATGATACCTGAAATATATTCTTCATTGCAGCTCTAAGCTTGAATGGTTTTTTATGGAAATCTTTA